AGAGAGGAGCCAAACCTGTGCACAGAACGTGGCATAAAATTTGGCCTTGATGCCCCCGTCTGCCTTGGTGGATTCCCTGTAGACGGCCTCCTCTGAGGCTTCGAGGATTTCAGTGACCATACATAGTTTGATGTCTGTTCTCCGTAGTTGCTGGATGAAGGAATGATCCATGTTGATTTCCCTGGAAGAGGAAAAGGATGGGAAGGGTTTGGATCACCAGGAGTGGCTGAGGCAGCTGAGGGGGATAAGCATGTAAAAGAGGAGGCTCTGGGGGGATCTTGTCATCCCATTCCCTAACGTGGCATAGAGGGAGTTCATGCCCTAAGGTCTTAATCTTGGTTTTAGGCTGTTGATCACCCATTGTTGACCCTATGTGTGCTGGAGGGGGATGACAGGAACTTGTGTGCTCCCTTTGTCATTCCTTACCTTTCTCTTCTCAGTGCCTCCAGTGATTCCAGCGATACGCTCTTCTTCTGTGGTGTAATGGAAAACTCTTTGGACAAGGAGGCACCTCCTTGCAGCCCAACACTTGCAGGGTCAAAAGCAATGCTGAGACCTCCATCAGCTTGGTCAGCGCTGGTTTTTCTGAGGGTAAATTGGCTGGAATCTTGATGGAGAGACTCTGAAATAATTCCATGCATTATCTTAGGCAGGACTACACAGACTCAGCACTGTAAGTATATCACACACAGGAGAGCTGGAACATGGTACAGCTTAGCCACAAATGATTAAAAAATATTATCTATGGTATTTGATAAATTCCTATTGATAAATTTGGGGCTTACCTATGCATTTACCATCTTCTCCAGGCAGCAGCACATCTTCCAGTGTGAACCCTGTCCTCTGGTAGTAGGGAGCTGAGTGGAATATGCGGTTTGATTTTCTTCTTTCTATCAGTAGACAGAGAGGCCTGAAATGCTCATTGTCTGCGATGCTCTCGACAGGGACCAATTCTTTGCATGGATCCATTTGACTTACAAGGAATTTGGTGAGTTTTTTAAACATTCTGCTGTGGCTGAAGTTTTGAAGCAAAGCCAAGTGTATTTGTGCTTTGGGAAAGAGGGAAAACAACCTAAGCCAAATTACTTGACATAATACCAGGGCACTGTAACAAAGTGTGACTTTAATGATTAAGAAGATTTCAAAATAATGACTCAAAATCCCCTTCATGGTCCAGGGCCACAAGTTTTAAAGGGTTGTTACAGGGCGAGTTGGTTGTTACAGGGAGAGTTGGTTGTTACAGGGAGAGGAAGCAGCAGGAGCTGTGGGTTGTTTGTCCTTGTTCGCCTTTGCTGGTGAACCCCAGTGATAGTGCAGTTGGCAAAGATTTCAGGCCCTCAGGGTGCTGGTTTTGAGGACAAATGTCTGCCAAAATAGAGAGAAATCAGCCCAGCCCAGCCTTGTTGGGCAGACCCTGGTGATGTGCAGGGGAGAGGCTGGTGTTTGAGGGCCAGAAAAAAATCCCTTTTTGTTTTCTGAGACAGCTTGCTTTCACCAAAAAGTTTCAGTTTCGCTTTTCTGGTGTTTTACGGGATGGAAATGGGGAGGGGAAATTGGGCAATCCAGACTGGTTTTGATGGGAAGGGGCCTTAAGACTGATCCCATTCCCCCCCCTGCCCTGGTCAGGTACACTTTCCAGTCTCCCAGGCTGCTCCAAGCCCTGCCCAGCCTGGCTATAGACTCTTCCATGGATAGGGCAGCCACAGCTTCTCACAGGGCAACCTGTTCTGGGGCCTCAGCAACCTCATACAGAGGAATTTCTTCCCAATATCCCATCTAACCCTGTCCTCTTTGCCAAATTCCAAAGACAAATAGCTTAGCCCATGCAGGACTCATTCCCTTGAAGGTTTCCAAGAAGAGAAGAAAAACTGATGAAGAGCTCTTAACAGAGAGCTCCCACCAATCCTCTCCCCTATCCAAAGCTCTGGAATAGTGCATTTGCCTGTTTGTGGGTGATGAGTGTGCAGAGCAGTGGGGCTGCTGTGGTAATGTGGCCTCTGGAGAGCAGCAGGACTGGGGAGAATTTCTCTGGCTTCCCTTGTGCTCAGAGGTGTGGAAGTGTTTCCGAAGTACAGGAGCTGTGAGCTGCACAGGAAGCTCACACCACCAGAAAGCCACAGCAAACAGTAAACTGATTTCTCTTACCTTGCTACACGGGGGGTTCACTGAAGAAACAGCTGGACAGGAGAGACCTGGAAGACCTCTGGCTGTTTGTAGCAGCTTCTCAGAAGTT